CCTTCTCGAGTGCACCTTCCTGTCCTCCTGTGGCCTCACTTTCAAAAACCACAATGAGCACGTGTTCTCTTATGCTGCTGGCTTCTGCGTTACCTTTAAAAGAGGTGCAAAACCTGACCAACACACAGATCAGACGTCACATGGCCAACCTCACCGTAACTTAAAACAATAATGAAATACCGTTTTCCACCTATCGGAATGGTCAAAAAAGAAAATGCTTGATAAAAATCCACCAGTCTGGGAGTGAGGAAAGACTCCTTTATCCCCTGCAGCCATGGATGTGAGCTGGGTCAGCTCTTGAGGGCGGTTGGGTAATACCTCTCAGAACTCAAACCACTCACACTTCTAACCCAGTGATCTCAACTCCAGATGCTCATCAGACAACAGGTCCCACAAGCACTCCACGCGCACCAGGGGGTTCCTGTAGCACCAGCTCGGCAAGCAGCCTGGACAGCCACAAGCATAAGTGGGTTAAAGAAAGTACCAAGGCAGCGGTCACTAAACTACCAAAAAGATCTGTCAGCTCTGTGTGCACCAAGACAGAGAAACACGCAGACAGAGACGGAAAAGCAAGCTGCCTCCTGGCACATACCACAGCAGAGAGGAGCCACACACCTCTCCACACGGACGCCTCTACAGCCACGGAGCATGGGGCGAGTCTGGAGATGGGCAGGGGGAGTGGACAGTTGTGGCCTGGGGACAGGGACAAGGACCGGCCCCAGAAGGTGGGACTGGGAGGAGAGGGGGAGGAGGAGACTAACTTTTTACCTGAACCCTTTTGCACTATTCTAACTTGTTTCATAGCCACAAGGAGGTGTCACTCCTCACTAGACGGGGTTTGGAGCCCCCTTTGCTCCAGTGGACGTTCCCCACCCCAGTGGGCACCTGGGAGGCTGATTACTCTAACTGTTCCTGGAACAGAGGTACACCAACCGAACGCACTCCAGGAAGGCCAGGCAGTCGGCCTCACCCTGCGAGGCCAGACCAGGCTCCCCCAGGCAGCGCTGCTCTGCCGGGCACCACTCCCTCCGCTCGGCTGGTACTGCCTCGACTGAGCGTTCTCGTCCCTTCTCATCAACCTGTACATCTGCTCGACTTGGACGAGTTATGTGTATATGACTGACCTTCATCATAAGGCTTAAGGCTATCTTCCCAGTTTGATTATTTTTGAGGTTAAAAGAGAATTATCTTAGGGATTCATTATTTTTTTGAGGAAGATTAGCCCTGAGCTAACATCTGCTGCCAATCCTCCTCTTTTTTTTGCTGAGGAAAACTGGCCCTGAGCTAACATCCATGCCCATCTTCCTCTACTTTTTATATGTGGGATGCCTACCATAGCATGGCTTGCCAAGCGGTGCCATGTCTGCACCCGGGATCCAAACTGGCTAACCCAGGGCGGCCAAAGCGGAACGTGCGAACTTCACTGCTATGCCACCGGGCTGGTCCTGGGGATTCATGACTTTTAAAGCATCTATAAATGCTCGGTTCCACTTCTGTCTGTCTTTACGGTTTGATTTAAGCCCTAGACTCTGCCGGGCACACTAGCCTGCACTCTGGATGGAGGAGTGGGGAGGGTGGCAAGCGCGTCTGGGCTGCCATTGTCTGGCTCCTGGAGAAGCAGCACATCCTTCTCTCTGAGGCTCTGCTGGGGAGGGCCTTCTGTGTTGGCATCATATTATTTAATGACATGTGCTGACACTGCCTCTTCCCCATGCATTTTATTGCTCTACTACTTGAAAACTCACTTATTTAGCTTCAAGAGAAAATGTATTTCAGTTAGGATTACAGTAACTGGTTACTTCGACTTGGAGAAAACAGCTGTCTCTCTCTCTTTCTTTTTCATGCTGAGGAAGATTCGCCCTGAGCTAATATCCACTGCCAATCTTCCTCTTTTTGTATATGAGCTGCTGCCACAGCATGGCCACTGACAGACGAGTGGCGTAGGTGTGTGCCCGGGTACCGAACCTGGACCGCCAACGTGGAACACGCTGAATTTAACCACTAGGCCACGGGAGCCGGCCCCAAACAGCCGTCTTTACACTATTACTACTTCCATCCAGAAAGAGCGTGCTTTTTCAACTCATACTTTGTAACCAATGCTTGGGAGTTCCTCGAATCACACACTTTTCCTGAGAAGCTGGGTCCCTGGGCAGCAGATTCAGGGCCTCCTCAGCTCCCATTCCTCCTGGTTATCTTCCTGCATACCTTGATTGAGCACCTACTGTGCACCTGTTTTTGCTGGCCGGGGTCAAGGATCAAGGACGACGCCCCCACACCGCAAACTCTCCCTGCAGACAGGACAGAATCAAGATGAAGGAGAAAAACAGCGTGCAACATGGGGGCGAGTGCTAAGGGGAAGGAAGCTGGGTGGGGGTGAAATGCAGCAGGAGGGGCCAGGGAGGGCTTCAGGAGGAGGCAGGTGCTTGAAAGACAGAGCAGGGGGGTGCCCACACAAGGCAGGGGTCTGCAGGTTCGGGAAGGGGGTATCTGCAGGTGTGGGGGCTGGGGATGTCTACAGGTGCAGAAGCAGGGTTCACAGGTGCAGCGGGGTGTCCCCAGGTGCAAGGGAGGTGTCCAGAGGTGCTGGGGGGGGAGGGAGTTGTCTGCAGGTGCAGGCGGGTGTCCACAGGTGCCAGGGGGTGCCCACAGGTGCAGGAGGGGGTGTCTGTAGGTATGGGCAGGAGGGAGCTGGGATGCACTTGTCTGGAGCTGGGGAGATTGAGGGGGAGGCCCTGGCCCGCTGCTATAGGCCAGGCAGGGGCAGAGGCCATCCGGATGCTGTAAGAACTAATGTGTTTGGAGGCAGGGCGTGGAGAGGCCGCAACCTGCAAACAGTGAATCCCTGAGGATGGAGGAGGGGCCAGGCTAACCGAAAGGTCCAGAGTGCGGACCCCACATTGCTGCCCATGCCCTGGGAGGCAGGGTGGAGCCCGGCACTGAGATGGGGTTGCAGGAGAGCCTGGACAGGCCTACAAATGATAGGTGTGTGCGTGTGTAGGAGATGAGGGGAGGACGGCAGTAGGGGTAAGGACAGGTTAAGGTGTGGTGAAGGCAGGAGGGGCAGAACAAGGAGAGGAAGGGTGGGGCAAGGACAAGAAGGAGCTGGCAAGGACAGGAAGGAGGAGCAAGGTCTGGAAGAGGAGCAGAGGGGTGCGCTGGTGCCACCTCAAAATCAAGACGAATATGTCTTCTCAGCGTGAGAACCTTGTGACATCTTGAGAAGTACCACATTAGAAAAGTAGTCATATCATTAAATGCAGATGCCACAAAGAATTCAACCATTTCAGTGTCACTCTAACCCTGCACATGCCTGCCAGGAGGTAGCTGGCCCCTCACGATGTGCTGAAAATGGGAGAAGGGCAGAGGCCACTCACTGCAGTATCTGGGACAGAGCTCCCGGACTGCTTGTCTGGGACCGTTGCCCACGCTGTGCTTTATCATAAACGCTAACATCGTGCCAGAGTCCTCGTCTTCCTGACTGTCAGCGTTTGAGTCACCGCTGAAGTTGTGAGAAGCGTTCTCACACAGGGTGGATAGGCCATCCGGGTAACCCAGTCATGTGCACTCAAGTGTTCAGATACAAGGAAAGCACAGGAAACCTGGGGGCTCATTAGGCAAATTAAACTGCAGTAATTTCAACCTTATCCGCACCACGAAATCTTTCACAGCGTGCACCAAAAGCCTATGTTGAAACGGATCTTCTTAGTTTTTTATTGCAAACTGCTGCTCAGAACTAGCAGCTGAGCCCCTCTAGGCCAGGGGGCTCACCGCCTTCCCTGCACAGACCCTGTTGAAGGCCCAAGCCACAGCCCTTCCCCAGATTTCTTGCTGAGAGACCGCAACGCTATTCAGCTCCAGGCAGCAGGTTCCCAGGGTCTAAGACAATCTCCCAGTGACTCCCTGGTCGAGGGGAGGCCACGTGACCCAGGCAGCCAGTGAGATGGAAGAGGGGGTGTGTTGAGAGCTCTAGGGAGACATTTCCCTCTCCAAATATAAGAAAGAGAAGCATGCGGATAGAAGCACGCCTTCGGCTTTCTGATATGATGGTCGGAGCTGCTGCAGCCATTGTGGAACCGTTAGGAGGAAAGAGAATCCCAGAGGAGCCAGCCCTGGGCTCATTTACCTCTGGACTTGACATGAAAATTGAGGGACTCCTATTTTTTGGACAGCGTGCCCCATTGCTGTGCCAAGTACACTGTGTGTCAGGAATGTTATCAAGATGCTGACCACCTTGGTTCTTTCCTCTTCATTCCAGTGAACACGTATAATTTTCTGTGGGTGCCATGATGAGATAAAGGTTGAGAAGCTGTTTTGTGTTACTTTCATCAGGCTGTCCTGTGACTTGGAGCTAAAAGCATTTAAACTGATACACACCACTCCCACTTTGTCTCCCTAGGCCAGTTCCACTTTCGGCCTCTGGGTAACCACATGCTGCCTCTGTCATCACTCCCACCTCAAGTTGCAGCTGCTCCATGATGGTGTGTAGAGCTGTGGTCGTGGCCTCCCACCATCTTCAGACAGCCTACCTCCCTCTGCCCTTCCTGTGCCTCTCTGTCGTGTGCAGGTCCCCCACAGGTGGGCCCTTCACATGGCTTTTCCTGAAAACCTCACAGGGACCATCAGGGTGAGCCAAGGTTCCCAGGCAGGACAAGGACGGGGTCGTCCTCAGCTGCTCTGGCCTCGTGAGGCTGAGCAACAGAGAATGCCCATCTCTCCACAGTAACCAACAGTCCAAACCGCCCAGCTCCTGTGCGGAGGTGACGCCCTCGTCACTGTGTGCTCCACTCGATGCAGACACAATGACACGCATCGGCCTGTCACTGTGCTGAAGACACCCTGCCCTCCGGGTTCTGCACGGCAGCCAGGCAGAGGGAGACGACGTAGCTAACAGACAGCTAACTCAGAGTGCAGGAGTGTGTGCCACCTGCACACGAGCCTGAGAGTGGCCACCTTGGCCGTCCGCACAGGGCAGCAGCCTGGGGAAGCACGCTGTTGCCTACCTTGAGTGCAGTCCTCCTGGGAGGTGAGGCCAGAAGGGCTGGATCCCAGGTCGAGGAACTTCCAAGCGTCCTGCAGGGAACTGCTGGCAAGTGATGAGGATCTCTGGGTGTGGTGGCCATTTTCCTCCTGGAATTCTTGAGCTGGGAGTGACTTTGAGGACCGGCCATCTTTCTGACGAGTTGATTTGCAAGGCATCGTGGAGCTTTTGTGTTGCTTCTATAAAAGTCAGAAAAGACAGAGTCATCCTTGAAAGCCACCCTCTCTCCAACCCGAGGAAACCCCAGAGTTTCCTGTCCTGCTCCAGGCAAGTGACAAGACAGTGGGCCTGGCCTGGAGACAGGCCTTGGTGTGAGACTTCGAGGGCCGTCAGAGGCCGCTGCAGACAGGCCCGAGCTCTGGCCACACAGCACTCCAGTTCCCTTGCCAAGACATGGCAGAAAGACCCCAGCACTGAGGGGCGCTGCTCACCTGTCCTGGCCCCATGGCCACTCCTGCCTCAGAGCCACACGGAGTCTCGTTTCTGCGGACTATCTGTGCCGAGCAGGGTTGGATCTTTCCCGAGCATTCGGAGAAACGTTCTTTCTTGACATCCTGAGAATCCTGTCACGGAAATTTATATGAAAGAAACTCAGTGTTCCTGGGTCACTCATGGGGTATGTGACTGAGTTTTCCCTCAAGATTAGGAAGAAACGCTTTCCCTAAATTGCTAGTATTAGGGACTTACTCGACTTGGTGACAAGTCAAAAGGGAGGGACATGCTCCATACATCAGCCAGGACAAACTTAAGAGGGCTCATGATGTCAAAGGGAGGGACATGCTCTGTCCACCAGCCATGATGAACTTAACAGGCCTCGTGATGTCAATCTAAGAGCATGTCCCATCCCGCCGGGAAGCCAAGCACCTGAATGTCATGCACACCCTCTCTGCAGCGTCGGGGGAGGAAGCCCTGGGCCCAAGCCAAGCACACGAATGGCCCGGAGCCTCTCGGTTTGGTGGCGCATCCTCAGTGCATAACTGAGGCCTCTCTGACCCTTGCAGCCGGAATACTCGTGACATCCTCCCTTTGTGGGAAGCTTGCCAAAAAGCAGTCCAACGGGACCATTCAGGGGAGTCACCCAAGGCACATCAGAAGGAAACATGGAAGAAAACAGAAGAATTACAAGCCCCAGACTTGGGTAGAGCCCTGAGCAGCAGGCCACCCTCAGGGAGGGCCTGGGGACAGGTCAGACCCACCCAGCCTCTGCCCGGCACCACAGGGTGTGCTGAAACCTGCTGCTGCACGGCTTTTCTCCACTCAAGGCTAAGTAACTTTTGATTTTCAACCAACTGATGCATGCACACCTTTCAGTTTTAACTTTCAGCCCAGTGATGGCTAGTGGATTTTCCTGTTTGTTGACTGGCTGAGTTTCTTCCTCCAAGGTTTCTGATTGCATCCTTTGCTTATTTCTCTATGGGTTCCCTGTCTTTTTTTTATTGATCATTAAGAGTTCTTTTCTGTATGTTCCTCCTATTTCTTCTTATACCACAACATTTACTATTTGAAATGAAGAGGAACTGAAAAGGGGGCCCATGGAGTCTTCATGTCTTGAGTCTTAAGAAAAGAGTTGTTTCACTGAATGTAATGAATACATGCTGGTTTCGTAGTAGGAAAGAGATCAATAAAGCTGAATAAAACATTTAATACACTAGAAGGAAGTGGAGGTCTAGTAACTACTGTCTTACCATAACAGCTAACAGGTACCTTTATTCGATCATTTGGGAGAGATTTGCTCTAACAACATATACTTAGAAGTTTCAGCAATTAATACAGATGATTTGAAAGTCAGGAACAGTGGCTTCAATGCTCTAACAGCACCTCCCACACGTGGGGAGGGGAAGAACTGAGGTGCATGTGTTGAGTGGGTGCACGCTCATAGGTCGTGGGGGGTGTCGGCAGGGAAGGAGGGGTGGGGCTGCCGTCCAGGAAGCCCCGAGTCCCGGCGGTCCCCCCAGTGCCCTGGCACCTTGGCCCTCAATGTTCTCGCATCTCTCCTTTCTGGGCTGTTCCCTTCTCCCCAGCTGCCTCCTCCACAGGCTCCTTTCGTGGGCAGGGAGTCTGTTGGTGGAAAAAAAGCACGTCCCTGGGCCCCTGTCTGCAGCTAGCCCGTCTCAGTTTCTCTGTCTCCTCGTCTGGCAGACCCATCTCCATGGGCCTTTCTCTCCTCCAGACCTGTTCCTGGGCGACCTCGTGCTGTCCCAGGCTCAGATCCCCACCATTGCTGAGGACTGGCGTTTGTGTCCCATTGGACTCTTTCCTCAAACTCCACATCCAGATGTGCAACCTCAGACTGGATGCCCACATGGCAATGGAGAACAGGCATCTGAATCTAACCCCAGACCTGCTCTTCCCACAGTCTCCTCCCACATCCAGCTGCCCAGGCCTCAAACCTGGCTTCCTTTCTTTCTCTCTCATTTCAAATCCAACGTGGCAGGGAGCCCTGGCTTCTAGTGCCTCTAGATATGATGCGTCTCCTCACCGGCCGCCCTGTCCCCATCCTGACCCAGCCCCTCCGAAGCCCTTGTGCCTCCAGGGCCCTGCACGCACCTTGCCCACCTGCGCCTCTCACCCAGGCCGGAGCTTGTCGCTGCTCAACCCGGAACCCTGACACCCCCACCTCACCAGGAGCGATGCAGAACTCATGTCACCTGATGGCAGAACAGGCCGTCCCTCTCTGCCTGGCTGTCTCTTATTTTAACTGATTTTAAACAAACTGAGGGCCGGCCCGGTGGCACAGCGGTTAAGTTCGCACGTTCCGCTTCTCAGCAGCCCAGGGTTCGCCGGTTCGGATCCCAGGTGTGGACATGGCACCACTTGGCAAGCCATGCTGTGGTAGGCGTCCCACATATAAAGTAGAGGAAGATGGGCACGATGTTAGCTCAGGGCCAGTCTTCCTCAGCAAAAAGAGGAGGACTGGCAGTAGTTAGCTCAGGGCTAACAAAAATATATATATATATAACTGAGAAGACACACAACACACTGGGAGACTACATCAAGACTTTATAAAACTCACACGTCCCTAGAAGAAACTGAATCTTAGTGGTTTACAAATTACACACAGATGCATGCGCATAGCTCCAAGGCACACGTTTGGCACATTTCCTCAAATAATCAGGAGTAGAAGTTTCTAGTCATATGAAACTCTCGTGATGAACAGAAAGGTGAGAATGTTCCCTAAGGCAGAACATGCGATCCAAGCCCAGGGTGGACAGAGATCCCAAACCCCGGCCAAGACGCCAGCAAGCGCACCCTCCAGATGGAAGGACGGCTACCGTCCAAGCAGCCGGGAACAGGACCCCACACGTGGCCATCTGGGCAGAGTCAGCTGCAGGACCAGAGAGGATTCAACACCTATTCTGGGTAAAAACTCAGTTAAGTAGAAGAAAGAGCTTCTTTCAGCTGATGAAGGGTCTGTGTTGGTTCAAACCCTATGAAATTGCTGATATTTGACCCTTCAAACTGGCAATTTGGCATAGTTCAACACAAGACCAAAACCTACCCAATGTTCTACTTGAAGATAAAATGCAAAAGGCATTCTTTCTAAACCAGGCCAAAGGTGGAGATGCCAGCCACCCCATCCTTCTCCACGCTGCATGGAGTCCTGGCCAGGACAACATGTGGAGAAGAAACAAAAGGTCTACAAATTGAAAAGGAAGGAGGCCGATCCTCCCCATACACCATCTTTGTCAGCACAGAGAACCAAAGAGAAACCACCGACACACAAATAAAATCGTTTTCCAGAAGTCGACTACCTCCCTCACAACCTGCAACGGTTAGACTGCAAGTTTAAAGAGACATATAAGATAAACACATTGCTATAGCCATCAAGAGAACACTATTCAGCCACAAAAAGAAAAGAGCTTACGAAGCTGTGAAGAGACACGGGGGAACCTTAACTACACACGACTGAGCAAAAGAAGCCACTCTGAGAACACCTCCTGCTGTGGGATTCCAACTCTAGGACACTCTGGGAAGGCAGAACTCTGCAGAGAGAAAAAGATCAGTGGCTGGAAGGGCTAAGGGGACAGGAGGAACAGGCAGAGCGTAGAGGATCTGAGGGCAGTGAAAGCTCTCTGCACGAGGTTCTGATGATGAACACGGGCCACATGCATTCGTCCACAGCCACAGAACGGACACCGCCAAGAGGAACCTGTGCACTCCGGGGATGTGGGATGATAATGACCTGTCAAGGCGGCTCATCAGTTGTGACAAACGCCCCACTCTGGTGGGATGCTGGTAATGGGGGAGGCTGTGCATGTGTAGGGGCAGGAGGTGTGTGGGAAACTTCTGCACTTTCTGCTCAACTCTTCTATGAACTTAAAACTGCTCTGAAAAATAAAGTCTCTTTGTTATAAGAATTTTAAAAACAGCAACAAAAACAGATGAGTACATTGTGTTGAGCTTCAAAATACCAACATGTGACAAAATGCAGAGTCTTTGTGCATCGCCTGTGGAAGTGTGAACTGTCCAACGACTTTAGACAGTCATCTGACAACATCTTAGAAAGACAAAACATACACACCCTCGAACCCAGCGATTCTGCACCACAGGTACACACTCTAGAGACACTTTTGCATATGAGGACAGTAATCACAATGTTCATACCAAAACATTGGTAACCAACCTAGATGCCCACTGACAGAAGAGTGGGTAAATGTCGGTACATTGGCACAGTAGAAAGAAAATACAAACTAGTATGTAGTCTTGCGGTCGGCAAACCACAGCTTGCAGGCAAACTCTGCCCACCACGTTTTTTGTATACCTGTGAGCTAGAAATAGTTTTTACATTTTTAAGTAGTTGGAAAAAATCAAAAGAAGAATATTTTATGACATGAAAACTATATGAAATTAAGATTTCAAGATCCATAATGTCCTCCTGGAGCATGTCCATGCCCATCTGTTTACGTATCCCCTGTGGCTGCAGTCAGGCTAGATGCAGAGCTGAGAAGTTAAAACAGAGACTGTACAGCCCTTAAAGGTGAGAGTATTTCCTATCTGGCCCTTTACAGAGAAACTTTACCCCTCCCTGAACCAGAGCCAAAGTATCAACATGCATAGATCTCAGAAACATAATGTTGAATGAAAGCACAGGCGCAGAAAGATATACACACAGCTGCATATGATTAACACAGATTTCCAGTATCCGCTGAGAGAGAGAAACACATCAGGGAAGTCTGAAAGGGGCTGGAGGCACTTTTGGGTGGAGATCAAAGGGGTTTTGACATTATAACATTTTGTTTATTAAGCTGGATGGTGTACACACAGGTGTTCAGTAAATTAGTCTTTGTATCTTCTTAGAAGTATAAAAATACTTAAAAAAATAAATACATAAATAACAATACCACCTAGTAAACATTAAATGGGAGAGAACAGCAAAGAAAATTTTATGAGGTAGCAGAAACTACGGCAAGCTGGTTACAGAGATTTGTAATATATTAAACATATCACAAAGCTATGGGTGTGTTTTTGTTTTTGTTTTTGCTGAAGAAGATTCCCCCTGAGCTAACATCCATTGTCAATCTTCCCCTATTTCGTATGTGGGTTGCCACCACAGCATGGCCACCAATGAGTGGTGTGGGTCTGTGCCTGGGAACTGAACCCAGGCTGCTGAAGCAGAGCGTGCCAAACTTAACCACTAGGCCACAGGGTCGGCCCAAAGCCATAGTATTTAAGGTAGGACAGCATGGACTCGGGAACAGACAAGTCACTGGAACTGTGTAGAAGATAAATGCAGAACTGGAATCCAACAGTTTTGCAGTGTCAGCCCCACAGTCTATGAAACACTGGCCTGACTTTTCAAAAATGTCGATGCTGTGAAAGACCAAGAAGGGCTGAGGACCCGTTCTGGGGCACAAGCACACTCACAAACATTCACACACACACACACACACACACGCATGGGAGCGCTGAGGCAACGCGGGTCCTGGACCGGCTACTCAGCTGAGGATGATGGCTACAGAGAGGTGACTGGCCAAATCTGAATATAGAATGTATATTAAGTTCTAGGACTGTATTAATGTCATGCTTTCTGAGTTTGATAATTTCTGTGGCTACATGTCAGGGGGCGTCCTTGTTTTCAGATACACAGGGGCTCGATGTCTGCAACTTATTCTCAGCTGGTCCAAGGAAAAAGCTAGCTCCCTGGCTACCTACCCATCTATGGACCTTAACAATGAAACAGCCAGTTATATTACCAGCAATACGGGTTGTTTCTTCAGGAACGGCAGAGGAACTGCCATTCAGGACATGCAAGCTACGGTTAGACACAGGCAGCCCTCAGAGACAACGGGAAGGCCAGGGTTTAGGAGGGAAGTGGGGAAGGTTTTCGAGCAAAAGTTCAGTGGAGAAGAAGGAGAGTCGAGGTTGTGGCGGTTTCCCACGGGCTACAAGCACTGGCTGGGGTGCTCATGCTGGGGCAGGGAGGGATCTTCCTTCTTTTGCTTACAAGCAGGAGATGAAATTCCCATGTGATTACGTCCTCCCTTGTCGAAATAATTCTCATCTTCCTTCTTGCGGCTGGTTATGTGGCTGCACTGACTGGTACCTGTGTGAGAGCTCCCCTTCAGGGCTTCCTGACTCCATTATAAATGAGGTTTCCTTTATTTATTTCCACTTAGCTCTCTGTCTGTCTATCTATCATCTCTCTCCAGATCTCTCTATCTAAAATGTATGGGAGGCAGAGGGAGGGAAGAAGAATGACAAAGCAAATGTAGCAATAAGTTAACAACTGGTGAATGTAGGTGAAGGGTATATGTGCTGTTCTTACAACTTCATGCGAATTGAAAATTATTTCAAAATTAAAAATTAATTAAAAACAAACATAAGCAAGAGAATAGACTTTTAACATATGATAAAAATGGCAATTCCAAACCAGTGGGAAAAAAGTAGGATAATGACTTACAGGGTACTATGACAATTAGTAAAATAGAACAACTGGAAGAAAAGGGTGAATATTTACCTAAACTCAGACTAGAGAAAAACCCTCTAAGACAAAATCCAGTGAAATAAACCATTAAGTAGACTGACAGTTCATTAGATTAAAAAAAGTTATCTGTGGATTAAAACAAAATTAAAAATTAAAAGGCAAACGACAAGTTTGAGAGAGATTTATAACAGACAAGCAGCAATTTCCTTAATATATAAAGAACTCTTACAAACTAACAAGAAAAGTAACAACACACCAGTAGAAAAAATAGCAAAGAATGTGTATAAATAACCCACAAAAGAAGAAATATAAATGGCCAATAAATTGATTAAAAACTTAAATAACACTAAGGATATAAGACACTTTTTTTTTGAGGAAGATTGTCGCTGAGCTAACATCTGTTGCCAATCTTTCTCTTTTTGCTTGAGGAAGATTGTCACTGAGATAACATCTGTGCCCATCTTCCTCTATTTTGTATGTGGGATGCCACCACAGCATGGCTTGATGAACAGTGTGTAGGTCCGTGCCCCAGATCCAAACTGGTAAGCAAATTTAACCACTATGCCACAGGGCTGGCCCCAAGATGCAATTTTTTTTAACCTATTATATTGGTAAAGATTTAAAAAATAATACCCGGGTGGTAAAGCTATAGTAAAACCTATGGATGATATAATTTGTAGTTGTAAAAAACAGTAGGAAACACACTGAAATGTTACTGGTAACTATGTTTGGGTGCTGAAAATTGGAGGCTTTTTCAGTTGTGTTTACCGTATTTTGAAGTTTCTGTAATGAAAACTCAATACTCAAGCAATTAGTAAAAAGTTATTAAAAATACATTCCTGAGATGAAGGAGTGTTACCTGAGTTGGGAAGTGGGGCTGCAACTGGCCCAAAGGTGCCTCAGGCGCCTCACCCGGCTTCTGGGCTCCAGGGGTGGGAGGGGAGCGACCAGACAGTTTCCCTAGAAACAAGAGGAGGGAAAGGTGTGTTCTCTGTGTGCACATCACTTTTGGGTTCTCTTGTGCTGAATACAAACACTCGAGAAGAACAGCATGTTCTCTTCAAAATCAAACTCACTTCTCCTTCACCGAGAACTGGGTGGCGGGCACATGTGAACCGTGTGACACGCCAGCATTTCAGCAGGCCAGCAGAGCTCGTGAACACACACAGACAACTCTCTACAGCTATACACATCCCTTTCGTGGCTTCTCAAAGTGGCAGAAATGAGCAAACTCATTAATAGACCCAAGGATATACCCTCTCTGGAGCATAGAAAAAGCAGCAGAAAAAGTTTAACCATATAAAGATTATGCTTGTTACCAATGCTTCAGCGTTCCGTCTTCCTTAGAAATCATCAAGGCACCCAATGAACACCATTCATTAACTCAACTTGTGTTACGTTACCTAAAAATCGTGGAAATTTATCTTGACTCCGACATACTATAAGACACAATTACTGTTGAAATAACATTTCTCAGAATAATGAATCAATTTGGTTAAACACAAGCTTACTGAGGACTCCAACAAGTTTTATGAGTTATAACTATTGATATTCACCATCCTGGAAACTGAAACAGAAAAAATTTTTTTAAAGCTTATTTATCCATTCACTTGAAGATAGTGATGATAAATGTATTACATGTTACTGACATCTGAATAGTTGCGAAATTAGTTCTGCCACCAGGACCTCCTGAGGTGGGTCCTAAAGTAATGTATCAGTTTTTTCCAGGTAATAAAAGGACATATCAGGACAAAATTTGGAAATGAAATTATTTTCCTTGGTTTGTGATACCTGAGCTTAGAAACTAGGAAATCAGAAGGCACACAAATGACCAACAAGCCCATGAAAAGATGCTCAATGGCTTAGTCATCAGGGAAATGCAAAATCAAAATCACAATGAGATACTACTTTGCACCCACTAGGATGGCTAAAATCAAAAAGACAGAAAATGAGTGTGGGCGAGGATGCAGAGAACTCAGAGCACCCATCCATTGCTGATGGGAAAGTAAAATGGTGCAGCTGCTGTGGAAAAGAGTTTGGTGGCTCCTCAGTAAGTTAAACGGAGAATTACTATATCACCCAGCAATTCTATTTCTAGGTATATATCCAAAAGAATTGAAAACAGGTTCAAACAAAAACTTCTATGTGAAGGTTTCCAGCAGTATTATTAACAATAGCCAAAAGACAGAAAACACCCAAATGTCCATTACTGATGAATGAGTGTGGTCTATCCATACAATGGAATATTATTCAGCCATGAAAAGGAATGAAGCACTGATACACGCCACCATGTGAACAAACCTCAAAAACATGCTTGGTGAAAGAAGCCAGACAGAAAAGGTCACATAGGGTTCGATTCCATTTGTGTCTGGCTTAAAATGAAATGTCCAGAATAGGCAAACCCATAGAGACAGAAAACAGGTTGGTGACCATCAGTGGGAAGGGAACAGGGAATGACTGCTGAGTGCAGGATTTCCTTTGGGGTGATGAAAACCTTCCGGAACAGACGGTGGTGATGGTTGCATAGCACTGTGAATGTAATTCATGACAATGAACTGTACACTTCATAGTGATTTAAACGGTAAAGTTTATGTTATACGTATTTTACCAAAGTTAAAAAAAAAGCTACTCAAAAAAAAGACATGAAATGTGTTAAATCTCAGCAAAGTTCGCTCAATTTTGATGGACTTAATTCCTCAGCTGGCAATGGATTGCCTTCACCTTGCCATTTGCAGCAATATGGATGGACCTTGAGGGAATTATGTTAAGTGAACTACTGGATTGGTGGAGAAGCCATAATTTTCAGTCACATTGATGAACTTGTTGACTGAGACTCTTGCCGTTTTTGCCCTGTGACGTCAGCACCTGCCACACATGGCATCTCCCAGGGCCCTCGAGAGCACTCGGTCACACTCGCACCTCACCTGTCTTTTCTGAGCGGCCCTGGGAGGGAAGGAGACTCCTGTCAGGGATCTGCCGGCTCTCCTTCAGCAGCTCCTGGAAGAAGAGCCTGTGGGCAGTAAATTCTCTGTCTCATAAAATGATCTTCTTCTGACCTCTTTCTAGAATGATGTCTTCTTACACCAATCTAGTATTTTTAATCTTTTTTTTAATTGAGGTCATAACAGTTTATAATATTGTGAAATTTCAGGTGTACATTATCATTCGTCAGTCACCATATAAATGTGCTCCTTTCCCCTTTGTGCCCAGCCCACAACCCTCTTCCCCTCTGGTAGCCACTAATCTATTCTCTTTGTCCATGTGTTTACTTTTCACATATGAGTGAAATCGTACGGTGTTTGCCTTTCTCTGTCTGGCTTATCTCACTTAATACCCTCAAGGTCCATCCATGTTGCTGCGAATGGGACAATTTTGTCTTTTTTATGGCTGAGTAGTATTCCATTGTGTATATATTCCACATCTTCTTTATCCAATCATCAGTCCGCAGGCATTTGGATTGCTTCCACTTCTTGGCTATTGGGAATAATGCTGCAATGAACATAGGGGTGCATAAGTCTCTTTGAATTGCTGATTTCAAGTTCTTTGCATAAATACCCAGTAGTGGGATAGCTGGGTCATATGGTATTTCTTCTTTTTTTTTTTAAAGATCGACACCTGAGCTAACAACTGTGCCAATCTTTTTTTTTTTTTTTCTGCTTTATCTCCTCAAATCCCCTCTGGACATAGTTGTATATCTTAGTTGCAGGTCCTTCTAGTTGTGGCATATGGGACGCCGCCTCAATGTGGCCTGACGAGCGGTGCCATATCTGCGCCCAGGATCCGAACCCTGGGCTGCCGCAGCGGAGCACATGAACTTAACCACTCGGCCACGGGGCCGGTCCCTGGTATTTTATTTTTAATTTTTTGAGAAATCTCCATACTATTTTCCACAGTGGCTGCACCAGATTGTATTCCCACCAGCAGTGTATGAGGGCTCCCTTTTCTCCACAACCTCTCCAACATTTCTTATTTTTGGTCTTGGTTATTATAGCCATTCTGACAGGTGTAAGGTGATATCTTAGTGTAGTTTTGATTTGCATTTCCCTGATGATTAGTGATGCTGAACACGTTTTCATGTGCCTATTGACCATCTGTACATCTTCTCCGGAAAAATATCTGTTCATATCCTCTGCCCATTTTTTTGATCAGGTTGTTTTTTTATTGTTCAGTTGTGTGAGTTCCTTATACATTATGGAGAATAACCCCTTCTCAGATATATGATTTGCAAATATTTTCTCCCAGTTGGTGGGCTTTTTGTTTTGTTCCCGCTTTCCTTTGCCTTGCAGAAGCTCTTTAAGCTGATGAAGTTCCACTTGTTTATATTTTCTTTTGTTTCCCTTGCCCAAGTAGATATGGTATTGAAAAAGATCCTTCTAAGACAGATGTCAGAGAGTGTACTGCCTATATTTTCTTCTAGGAGTTTTATGGTTTCAGGTCGTACCTTCAATTTATGATCCATTTTGAGTTAATTTTTTGTGTATGGTGAAAGATAATGGTCTACTTTCATTCTTTTGCATGTGGCTTCCCAGTTTTCACAATACCATTTATTGAAGAGACTTTCCTTTCTCCACAGTATGTTCTTAGCTCCTTTATCCAAAAGGTTAGCAGTCCATAGATGTGTGGTTTTATTTCTACGCTTTCAGTTCTATTCCATTGATCTTTGTGCCTGTTTTTGTACCAGTACCATACTGTTTTGATTACTATAGCTTTGTAGTATATTTTGAAGTCAGGGATTGTGATGTCTCCCGTTTTGTTCTTTTTTCTCAGGATTGCTTTAGAAATTCGGGGTCTTTTGTTGCCCCATATGAATTTTAGGATTCTTTGTTCTATTTCCGTGAAGAACGTCATTGGAATTCTGATTGGGATTGCATTGAATCTGCACATTGCTTTAGGTAGTATACATCAATATATTCTTACCCTAGGATCTTAGATACACACGTGTAATTCTAAGTAATAAGCTAAATGTAAATAGATGTTTTACTATTTGTGTAAACATGCCTAAAAAGTAGTATTGGGTCAGCTGGCTAACCATTTAGAAAAAATAAAGCTAGATCCCTAATTTCTTCTTTTTACCAAATCATTTCTAGATGAATCAAAAATTCAGCAGGAAAATGATATGATAATGAAATACAAATGGCCACAAAACCACAAACACAAAAATTAAAGAAATACAAATTGAAGCAATGAAATGTTTTTACCTGGCTAGACTGGCAAAAACCATTTTCTAATAAAGATCTAGTTTTTGTGAGGCTTGGCCACATCAGGACTTTACTGTTGTAAGAACGCCCATGAGGCACTTTTTCAGAGGGCTGTTTCATTCTCTCAACACGTTAAATGTCTCTTGAGAAGATGGCACAGAGGGCATCTGTCCACCTAGAGACTGTAGAGCATCTGGGGAACAAGCAAAGGATACCAGCATGCAGCATCTCCTTAAAAACAACCAGCCGTGGTCATGACCCAAAAATGCATACAGTGGGCCGTTCACTGAGAGAGCGCATGCAGAGGGAGCAGGGCACAGTGCAATGCACGTGGCTATGTGGGTAATGGAGTGTGAGAGTGTGTGTGAGCATGAACACACACCCTGATGGATGGACAGAGAGGCACCAAAATGTGGATTAGCTCTAGCTGGTAATATGTGCTTTCCTGTATAAATTAATACTTCCCAGCACTCATTTAAATTTTTACAGTGAGAAAACAGCCTCTTTATAATCAGAAATCTTTTAAAAAATGTTAGATATCAAAGGCCTCACACTGTATGATTCCAACTCTACAAGATTCTGGAAAAGGAAAAGTGTGGAGAATGTAAAAAGATCAGTGGTTGGGGCTGGCCCTGTGGTGTGGTGGTTGAGTTTGGCGCGCTCTGTTTTGGTGCCCGGGGTTGCAGGTTTGGACCGTGGGCACCAACCTACGCCACTCAGTCAGCCATGCTGTGGCAGCCATCCACATATAAAATAGAGGAAGTCTGGCACAGACATTAGCTCAGGGTGAATCTTCCTCAGAAAAAAATTTTAAAAGATCACTGGTCGCCAGGGGCTCAGGGGGAGGGATGAAGCAGAGCACAGGGGATTTTTAGGGCAGAGAAACCACTCTGTATGATGCTATGCTGGTAGATACATGTCATTATACATGTGTCCAAACCCACAGAACGTACACCACCAAGATGAACCTAAGGGACACAATGAACTTGGTGATCATAATGTGTCAATGTGGGTCCCTCAGTTGTAACAAATGTCCCACTGTGATGAGGGAAGCTGATGGTAGGGGAGGCTGTGCAGGGGCCCAGGACAGCCCATCACCCTAGATAACTCTGGGCATGATAGACTAGGAGGGTCCTTGCTAAGCCCACTCTTATCAAAGTTCTGTCTACTAAACATTTGCTTTCCCATCTCCATGTGAACTGCCTTCCTCCCCTTCCACCACACCCAACACCTTCCTTTGTCTTTAACTGAAGATGATGCTTAAGCTGACAGTTTGGCCATTTTGTTGAGTTGCTGAGTTTTCCTGAGTGTCTCCCCCAATGCATGTTATAAAGCTTTGATTTTCTCCTGTTATTCTGTCTCATGTCAATTTAATTTATAGTCCAGCCAGAAGGACCTAGAACAGGTAGAGGAAATGTTCTTCCTCCCTCCGAGGGGAGAGCCCAGCTCAAATTGAAGTCCACTCTGCCTGGCCACGTGGCCCCTGGGCCTGCCCTTGTCTGGCTTCCCCTAAGCAGGCCCGCTCGGGCAGCATTGGCTTCCCCATGCTCTTGGCCTCCACCCTACTGTGGGTGGTGTCGTGGTCTCTATCTCAGAGGTGAGGGGTGAGCACTCAGAGCGGGGGCCACTAGGTCACCCACTGAAGCCGGTTCCACAGCCGTGTGCTTCCACTTGTTGTGGACTGACGGGAGCAGGGACAGGGACAGGTGCAACTTGAGGACAGGCAGCTCCCTGCACCTGCACCTACTCACTGGCCTGGAGAAGAGGTGGGGAACAAAGAGCCAAGCTCAGGGCCCACCTGGACGACTCCTGGCCGCATGCCTCAACCACACACTGCCTGCCTGTCTGTAAAGCAGACCCGAAGGTCTGGACCTCAGCATGAGGGACATGGCCAGCACAGGAGCCTGACCCTGCTCAGCAGGGGATGTGGAATGAAGACTGAATGGGCAGTGAAAGAGCCAGGGCCAGTGAAGGGGCTGGTCCTCTAGCTCCCCATGGGGAGGGGACCCCTTCCCAGAGGCAGACAGGTGAGGACACGCCCCATGGTGGGTACAGGTGAGCCCTGGGGTCAGCCCTGCCTGCCGGCTGCAACCACAGACACAGCTGGAGAAGCACCTGGAAACAACCCACTCCCAGTGAGAGGGGGTGGAGTGGGAGTGGTGTACGGGAGTGGGTGCAGCTTGGCCGGGCCATGGTCTCACATTTTCAACGTCCTTAAATGATGATAAGATACTTTGGTCACAGTTGGTCATTCTGTACCACTGAATGACTGTAGCTGCACCATTAACGAGCCAGAGAAATCATCTTTGTAAAAAAATGCAGACAGACCAGTCTTGCCAAAAGCCTTTGCCTTTGGGTCTAACCACTTCCCTGGGAGAGCAGAAGGCCCACTGCCAGCGTGCTTTTGAGGGAGGATGCCTTCCCAGAAGGAAACAAACGGAGCCCGTTTGGTATTTTTACAAACTGCATATCACATACAAATAGACAGAGCAAACCCCTCAAAATCTCCTCCACTCTTCTCTTCTCACTCCACTTTCTTCCCCAAGCTGCCGAGAAATCCATATGCTTCCTTCCACACACGCACACACAGTTACACGCACATACGTGCACACGCCTGCTTCTGTTTATTGATCTACACACATGATTCTGCAGGTTGCTTCTTTCACACAAGGACACGTCCACTCAGGGTACGCAGAAGTGTGGCCAGTAGGCCGGGGCTGTCCACGAACTATTCCAGGCCCGTGACTAAATGACACAGAAAATGAGAGTAAGTGTTAGGACCTTTGAAGTAATTTGGAACTGCCACATTTTTATTGTATTTGACAAAAGTATCATCCACAATAGACTGGAATTAAGGGGCTCTCCATCATAACTACTTTGAGAAGAGCCCTGTGGGGACAGTGCCCTGGGGGGACACAGACTGTTCCTCGTGCTTCCAACTTCCAACAGCTGAGCAGCATTCCAAGGTCTGCATTCCAATGCCCCAAGGATGGCCATTTAGACCGATCCCATTACTCTCTTACTGTAACAAAATTCTTGCCAAGAATATCCTTGTACGTATGTATTTTTCACATCTGTGGGAAAAATCTTTCAAGTAGATTTCTAAGAGAAGAATTGCTGATTCAAACGGTATGAACATTTAAAAATGTGGCAGATGAAACCAAACTGCCCTCTGAAAAGGCTTCACTAATGAAGATTCCCACCAACAAGTGCGTCCCACGTTCTCCTCAACACTGAGTGTGAACCTTTCTCATCTGAGAAGGCTGACTTCACTGGCCCTCCTCAGACTCCTGGAAAGGCTGAGCGTCATTCGTATCCTCATTAGTTCCGTGGATTTCTTCCGGGACTCCCCATCCCGGTCCCTTGCCCTGATCTGTAGATGCCCACTTCAGGTCCTGATCCTTTTGATCTGTCAAATAAGTTGCAAACATTTCCCCCAGTCTGCTGTCTTTTATCTTTGTTTATGATGTCTTTTCCTGAAAGATGTTTTAAATGTAATGACACGAAATCTGTTGGTCTTTGACTGTCTCACGTCTAGGTGGTTTAAAAAATTTTAATCTTACTTAGAGGAGGCTTTCTCACTGCTTGGGTTTGCTGCAAAGATGAGAAGAGTCCCCTTGTGCACAGAGGGGAAGGGCAGTTCAGGGTGCATCCCACATCACCGCAATTACGAAAGTCTGAGAAAATGAAGGAGACAGCCGCAGATCCAGAAGACAGTAGCGTCACAGGCGACTATGTGCACTCTATGGTAGTACTCTAGAGGCTGAAGACTACGGATAGTTTTCTAGCAAAATGTAAAGGACCAAAATTGATCCAAGAAGAGGCAGAAAACCCATATAGACAAATCACCATAGAAGACAATGAAAACATAGTTCAATGTTGACAAATGAAAATGGCAAGCAATAGGATGTATTGGAATATATGAGGAAGCCATTTGGTATAAACCTAATTCGGCCTGACCTTGTCTTTCCAAAAGGGCCTGACCGAGGCCGTTGAGCATGCATTGTATATCTGCTTTAGAGATTCCCTATGGCAAGAACAAAGGCTCTTGAGATAAAGGTGCAACTTCCCTCCCCCTCCCAATGTTGGCGTCTCCTTAAGGATTAAGTATCTTTCCTTAGGCTGGAAACTGATTGCTGCGCTCACCTGTGACCGCCCAGCTTGAGACAATAGACTTGCTTCCTGCTGTGTCCATCAAGATAGCAGACCCACTACCTGCTGTGTCCATCAAGTGCTGTGCCGACAGGGCAATCTTGTGACTATTGTGGGAGGGACATTTCAATCATATGTGAAACACCCTCTTTTAGGGTATATAATCGCCCTGTGTACCCCCACTTCTTTGGAGTGCTCTGTTCCTTTGTGGAAAGACTCTCCCGGGTTATAACCCTAAGATTTAAGCTCAGAATAAACTCACCCAAATTTTCATTTATAGATTGGTTATGGATTATTTTCGTTGACAAGAGAAAGGGGGAACGGCCTCCGATGAGGGGGTCCAGAGGGACGGAGCCAGTTCCCCGACGACGCCCAGTCCCGCTGATTGGCACACTGCTGGCATCTGGAAGTGTAGCTGGAAATAGAGACACGCTGAGCTCGGCTGACTATTCCCCTCTCCAGGGGCGGGCTCCTAGGAGGACAAAGCCTCCAAAACACTGTGTCTTCCAAGTATCCCACATGCAAAAGGTGGCCATCCAACAGCAGTCTCAAAGAACAACCTAGGGAATTTCATACCTGAGCTTTGGCTGACTCTGTCCCTTGGGGCCCTGGCACGCAGAGCCACGCAGCAAAACATCTGTAGAATACAAGCTGCCTGTACTCTCAGTCGCTTCCACCCTCCCTCCCACAGACAGCACTCCCTTCAGTTCCACTGTGCTCCTGAGGCCCCCAAGTCCCCCTCCCAACCAAGCAGTCATTTTAGCAGTCACCTTAGGACTAAAAACATTAATATATTAACAGCTACTATGATTATTTACGCAGCTTAGCCCCGGGAAGAGACTAGAGGATGAAGGATGGCCCCCAGCTTTCTCCCTCCCTCTCTTGTGACTGTTTCCTGAGTGCTGCAGTGGTCAGGACTTAGGAGCCCCTGCAGTGCACAGAGGAACTATCTTTGCTGAAACACCCTTTGCAAGATTCTCAGCCCTTCAGAGGCACCTGGGGGCACTCTGCCTCAAAAAGGCAACGGAGTGGCCTGGGGCTTTACTCCTCCAGCAGATTCCTTGAGGAGGCTCCGCCGCCCACCAGCCTCCCCTCAGCTTTCAGGCAATGCACAGGAGAGCAGGCATGGCCTCAGTCTCACACAGCCGAGGGGCTGGAATCCCAAGGCCCCCCTGTGTTGCGATCATCACAATGAGTCACTCAAAGCTCTTGCTGGGAAAGGAGGGACAGGCAGACACCACAGAAGGTGAGGGGGAGGCTGTGTGGGAAACGGGGTCTATGCCTAGGTGCTACAGGAAAGTGATAGGGACCTGAAAGGCAGTCTGACCAGGCATCCAGGAAAGTGTCTGCTCAGGACGGCGCCAAGGCTTAGACAGAGCCAAGGTGCTCTGCACCAAGGCCCTTGGTGCTTGTCTGGCCAACTCTGATGATATCCCACAGGACCCTCAGACCGGGGTTCTTTGTCCTCGATGGCAGCCTGGAGCTGTCCCAGAACATGAGTGCATCCATTTTCCAAGGGTCAGACATAAGTGTCGCATGCCCTTCTTAGGAACCAGCACCTCCGAGGCACCACAGGCAGCCTGGGCATCTGCAGGCCGACAGTCCCGGCCTGGGTCGCAGTGGAGACACTGCTGCCTCTGTCTGGAGATGTCCGCAGCCAGAGCCAGCCTGGGAACATGGCAGCCTTTGCTGCTCGCCACAAAGCTGCAGAGAAAGGCCAGCTGCTTCGCTGACCTGTGGTATTTTTCTCACAAATGTTGCCAGAGGGGCGGGCTTGTGGAACTCCCAGCATGGAGATGGAGCTCTGCCCTGTGCTGGTGACTCCTGACCCCAGCCTCAGCTTTGCTCCACAAGGGCAGCTTCTGTTCTCCCTCCTGCCCTCCTGAGAAGTCTGGGCCAGACCCCTCCCTCCGCCCCAGGCGCTCCACGCCTTCCCTGGTCCCTCCTCTTGCCTCTGTCCCAGTGATTGGCATCTGGGTTCCCTTCTCCTTCCCCTTCCGGAGAGGCAGGCCAGAGGAAAAAAGCACCTCTGTGAGGCCCCCTCATGCCATTGACCACAGGGGCGCCCCAGGCCGACGCTCCCAGGACTCACCTGTGGGGCGGCCCAGCTCTGCGCGGAGCCTGTTCCCCATCTCCAGGAGCTGCTCCTTCTCCAGGCGGAGGTGCAGGATTTTTCGGGCAGCCTCCTTTAGTTTCCTCTGGAGTCGGGGCACAGACAAGGCCTGTGTGGGCTGTGCCTCCGGGCCCAGGTGCACAGAGAACGTCCCCTGCTCCACTGTCCCCAAGGATGCTCCATCTGCAGGGTCCTGTGAACAAAACCCATACAGCAAACAGCCTGTGAGACAAGCCCCCAGGTAGGAGAGGGGAGAACTGGGGGTGAGGTGTGGATGGTGGGCGCCCCTGCCCGGCCGGCCCCAAACCAGCATAATGGGCAACATCCTTTTGAAACAGAGACAAAAGGGACAACTGCTCCCGCACTTTAGCGTGAGATGGAAGACAGCCACGCATCCGTGGACGATACCTCTTTCACAAGGAGGATGAATGAAGGCCAATGAATCTCCCAGGCCAAGGCCTGCCCCTCAGCGACTCTGCATGCCAGTTCCTGGGCCCCTCACAGCCCCTGCCCCCTCCAGAGTCTTCCGCTCCCGCCCTCCCCACTCTGCCTTTGTGTCTTTCCAGTGAAAATGATAAGGAGCCAGTTGACCCCCATGACCAGCCTCCAACAGGCCCCAGGGCGCACCGGGGCTGCATGGGTGACGGGACCCCTGCGTGGGCACCGCAGTCACAGGCTGGGTGCCTGCTGCCCAAGGGCTGCTGCCTGGCGTGGAGGGGAGCTGGCAGAGGTCTGACGGGCAGCCACGGTGGGACCCCAGCCGCCTCCTTCACTCTCTCCCCGCCTGCCCTGGACTCTGCGCTGCTGGGTCACTCTGCTCTTGGCTGTGCTAGTGGCAGCCCTCTCCCATCACCTCCTGCTGCCCTCCCTCGCTGGGCCCCCTTCCGTCTCCTCTCAGGCTCTGTCTGCCCTGATTCCTGACTCATGTCTCAGGCACTTTCTCCAGCTGCAGTTCGGACTCCCCTCAACCAGCCACAGGCCAGACCGGTTGAAGCAGGAGCAGAGAAAAATCGAAGGGAAGAAACATAGCCACCTGGGGCCTCAGCTTCTGGGCCCTGAATCTTCCCTGGGCTCCCCTGACCCTGGGACGCACCATGTAGTCCTAAAGCCCTGCTAACCCCATCCTGGACTCACTGGCCCAGCACGCAGACACGTGGTCACACTCATGTGGGGAATAAGAGAAAGGAAGAAGAAGAACATGTGTAGGGCCGCCTCTGTGCCGGGCAGGGGCCCAGGAGGAACGGTGAGTCCAAGGCCCTGAGGGAAGCAGGTCTTACTTAAGCGTGGCTGCTCCTGACACCTGTGAAAGCTGCACTGTGCCCCATCCTGGCCATACCAGCTTGCACCAGCACCAAGAACCGGTGCCAAGTCCTTGCAGCAGACCAGCATGCCCTGCCCTGGCCCTGTTTCCTAGTGCGCCTCTCCAGGGCTGGCAGGTGCCCATGCCCTCTGGTGGCCACTGCTCCTCAGGTGGCCTAGAAGCTGTGGTGAATGCACACTCGTGCCTCTGGCGTGCCACAGGCTAGAGCAGCATAAAGGGGGGTTGTGGAGGTGAGACCACAAAGGAAGACAGAGAGCTCCTGCAGCCCCGCAGCACTGGGGAGGCCTCACCGCAGCCCAAGCACCCAAATCTGACTCCTTTCCCCAGGGTGCAAGTGGCTTGTGGCTGCTCTCAGCCAGCGCAGAGCATCGGCCTCGTTCACGGTGTCTCAAGGGCACAGGACAGGACAGGGAGCCCTCAGGCCTGCAGGGGGCTGGGACACACCCGGAGGAGAGGAGGCCTGGAGGGTGGATTCACGCATGGGGGCTCCACTGCCCTGAAGGGGCAGACCTGACTCGCTGTGAAAATGTCACAGCCTTCCAGGCGAGCTTGGCCCTAGGGTCGGGGAACTCAGCCAGCGGTCCATTCTCAAGGCCTGGTCCTCTTTGGGAACATGCTGTTGGATTCTCTCGTGTTATTTTAAGTGAGGAAAGAACAGTCCTGAAAACAGACTTTGCAAACCCCAGAACAATGAAGAGATTTAAAAGCCTCTCCAAAAGCAGAACCCCTCCCCCGAAAGCCTGCCCCTGGCATGAAGAAGGAGCCGACAGTGGCCAGAGCCTGTGGCCGGGCTCAGGCTGGCGAGTCACAATTTTAAACGACCCTCATCTAGTCACTGTGGCTGTGCCCACCAAGTGGGGACTTGAGCCGGGGACCTCATCTATCTTGGGCTCAGTTTCTAGCAAGATCACATTTATTTTGATGACTCTCTAAAGTATCTCCCCACAATAATGATAAAATGCTAATAGTGACTAGAGACAGAGTCAGGCACTTCTTCTGAACTACTGCGTGCTTCAGAGCCCACTTGATCCCATCCCGTGCTGGCCCTGTCCACCCCACACTGCCCACTGCCTTCACCTGCTCCAGGTGCTAATCCCAGCATCTTGGCGGGGAAGGGAGATGTCTGTGTAGTAGAGGGAAAGCTTGGCCGCTGAGATGTCTTAATGACGATTCTGTCCCCAAGGGCAGCAGGGAGTGATGGACTCCAAGGAGAAGTACTCTGGGAGGCCGAGGCCTGGACCAGAGCAAGCCCGAACCCTGGCTCTCACTGGGTTGGCTCCAGGGTGGATTCAAATCCCTCTGCAGGTTCCCGGGCCTCCAGGCGGAGCCAGCCGAGGGGCCTCTAGGCGGAGCCAGCCGAGGGACCGCCAGCCAACACTGTCCCCCCAGCGGGCCCTCGTGTTGTGTTCTTGGCAGCCAGGCAGGAAGGCATGGGGGAAGCCCAGCCGGCAGGAGGTGGCAAGACCCCCTCAGTCCGGCCGTCCATCCTGCCATCCACCAGTCTCCCCTCTGAGGGAGGGGCCCAAGTGGGCACTAGGCTGGGGCTCACTAGAGACGAGAGAAACGTGAAAAGCTGAACCTGCAGCCACCTGGCGCTGTAGTGGTTCCAGGGCACTGTGGAGAAGTGCTGCATCATCCCTTCCTCTCGACTGGGGGAGTGAAGGGGACTGGCTTCTGTCAGGCAGAATCTCAAACCTGTAGAAAACCGCAAGGACGGCACACGGGCTCCAGGTACCCTTCGCCAGATTCGCCAGATTCGCGCTCTGCTGAACTTTGAGAGTAAGTCGAGATGTTGTGCCCTTTTACGCCTAAATACTTCAGTTGGGACATTCTCTTAATACCCAAGGTTACCAAAACCAGAAATTGAACATGGATACAACGCGAGGCCCTAACGCACAGTCCACATGAAAACTCCGCCAACTGCCCAAATACTGCCCTTCATAGCTTGCTTCTCCTGCCCAGCGCCCAGGATGCTGCGGCACATCCGTGTCCCAGGTGCCCTCAGCCTCCTAACGAGACCTCTCTCACAGGAGGGGCCTGTTGATCTCAGTACGGCCCTTGGTCTGGGTCTGTCTCAGGTCTCCTCGAACACCATGATGTCTGTCCCAGGGTCGGCGATGGGAGCTGATCCCTCCTTAAGTGGCATCTGCAGGCTGCTCCATTGGAAAGTTCCTATTTCCCTTTGTAATTAGGAAGCAATTTGTGGGGAGACGCTGCGTAAGTGCCTTGTTCCTGATTGTGGCATCCATCCATGCACGACTCCCCAGCTGCGGCACTCCTCTTACATTTGCTAGTCTATATTCTAATGTAAGGAAGAGCTTGCCTCTCCCCTTTCTTTCTTCATCTGTTTATTTGCAGCAGCATGGACTCGACTGCCCATTTTATTCAGTGGATTGGAACCCTGACTTCATGATCACTGGCCTGAACTGGGTCAAGGGGGGTCCTTTAAGCTGGTCCCTGAATCCTTCTGTCACGTCTCCACAATGGAATCAGCCACTTATCCTGGTTCCTCTCAGCAGAGGAGGGAATTCAGACCCAAGATCTTGCACTGGGTGCGCTCATCGCTCCTGGGGAGTCACCGCTCTCAGGCATTCAGGGCGGGCAGAGCCAGGAATCTGGGCACACACCAGTTTCTCTGCCTACCTACCTATTGCTTGCTCACTCTCAAATAACCCATGACTTTACACTGCTAACTCTAACCCCAACTCGCCCCGCAGGGGGCATCCCAGCCCTCTCAGTCTTCCCTCTTTCTCAAGCTGTAACTGCTCTCCGGGCTGCAGGAAGCCTGGTGCCCCCATCCTCTTCTCCAGGCACCTGACACACAGCTAGGCAATTATGGGCGCGAGCCTGGGTGGGCCTGGTCTGGGCAGAGGGACTGGCCACTTGGGTTTCCTGTGCCTCAAACTTCTCCCCCAGAAAGTGACCTCACCAAGGTCACAGGATGCCTAGACCTGGCAGGAATGCGAGACCCTGGTGGCTGTACAGAAACGAAGGCCTAGAGAGCTCGTCCGTTCCACCTGCCCTGGGAGAGCTGCGATGGGCCTCAAATTGCTTGGGCTCCCAGCCTGTCTGCCATAGGATTAAACACCTCTATTTTAAATTCTGCTTCTTTGTGTGATTTCTTCCTCCCTCACTCTAACAAGTGGGATCGGTGCGTTCTGTGAGGGCCAACAGGAGAACTGCTAGAGCCCCTTGGCTGTGGCCCAGCACCTGGAATGAGCTGTGGGCACAAGTGAGAGCAGATCTCTCACCCCCACGTTGGCTGCCCAGGTGGGACCGGGGCCCACAGCCCCCCCAGGCCACCACCCACCCCTCAAGTTGCAGAGTTTCAGGGAAGCCTGGGGCCCAGGGGAGGGGTTAGGTGCCTGGGCTCTTGGGGATGGCACCTACAGACACACTTCGCTTTACTGTGCTTCGCAGATACTGCGTCTTTTACAAGACCCTCCACCAGGGCCGGCCCGGTGGCGCAGCGGTTAAGTTTGCACATTCTGCTTCTCGGCGGCCCGGGGTTCGCTGGTTCGGATCCCAGGTGCAGACATAGCACTGCTTGGCACTCCATGCTGTGGTAGGTGTCCCACATATAAAGCAGAGGAAGATGGGCACGATGTTAGCTCAGGGCCAGGCTTCCTCAGCAAAAAGAGGAGGACTGGCAGTAGTTAGCTCAGGGCTAATCTTCCTCAGGAAAAAAAAAAAAGACCCTCCACCAGCAAAAACATTATGACTTTCTGAAGGCTCAGATAATGGTTAGCATTTAGTAATAAAGCCCTTTTTAATTAAGGTATGTTCTTTGTTTTTTTAGATATAATGTTACTGCACACTTAACAGATGATGGGACAGTGTAAACATAACTTTTATGTGCACTGGGCAACCAAAAAATTCACGCACCTTCCTTTATCATGATATTCACTTTGTCACGGTGGTCTGGAACTGAACCTGAAAATCTCTAAGGTCGGCCTGCGTTTACTGATGGCACAGACGGCTCAGCATCCCACCTGCTTGTGCCCCTGTGGGGCCCAGGACACCTCAGCCTCCCCGTCTCCCTCTGCAGGCACCCCTCACAATGCGTCCCCAACAAGGCTCCTCTGCACCCTCCTCACATCCCCTGAGCCAGAGAGTGCCACAGACCGCATCTTCTCCTTGGTCTCTTCATAGCCCCCGGTGGTGCATCCTGGAGCCGTGTCCCCCTTGGATCCCAAGTACCAGTCTCCAAACGTGGCCCATGGAACACGAGCTACTGGAGGCACACACAACACACACTGATTCTGCCAGAGGACTCTTCACGCCTTCCAGACATCATGTTACTGTCCCTGAAAGCTTTTGCTGATGAACAGGTCATCATCTGTAATCGCAGGTCACACAGGTAACCGCGGGTCACCAGGGGTAACGTGGATCACCACACGTAACACAGGGTCACCACAGGTAACGCCACTCACCACAGGTAACCGCGGGTCACCACAGGTCACCACAGGTAACCTCAGGAAACTGCAAATAATCCCAGGTAATCCAGGACATCACAGGTCACCACAGGTAACCATGGGTCACCAAAAGTAACACAGGTCACCACAGGTAATCACAGGTCACCACAGGTAACCTCAGGCAACTGCAAACAATCCCAGGTAATCCAGGTCATCACAGGTCACTGCAGGTAAGCGACAGACGGCTTGGGAGGCATGTCAGAGGACACCCCATAAAGAAGGCCCATTCTTTATGACACTTCCATCATGGCCTCTGGTAAGAAGACAGACAGATGCGGTAAGACCTGTGTGTCAGATCTGTGGGGACGACACGCTGCCGCAGAGCTCTCTCCATGGCCTGGAACCTTGGCTCACACCAGCCACAGCACCAGACGGGCACTGGGTGTGACGGCCTGACCACGAGCAGGATGAGAGCCCCCATGCCACCGCCCAGGGTGGCCCACTGTCACATGTATGTGCGCAGCAGTTGTAAACGCTCTGAGAAACTCATAACACAATACGGTCACCCCTGAGGGTCCTCTTGAAAGGAAAACTGCAGTTTGCATGGATTTTAGGGTTTCGCAGAGCCCTCTCAGCAAGGAGTCAGGACTCCTGTTTCAGAGGAAACAGAAGAGCCGTGTTCACACGTGCAGTCTCCTACACACGGGTTCCAAAGGGCGGGACCTTAAAGACCTACAGCCCTGAGGGATGGGCTGCACCCTTCAACAGGGTGTCTGTCCAGGAAGAGACCCAAACGTGAGAGCCGGCCCAGGAAGGAAGAGGCAGAAAGTGGAGGTGGGGCCCTTGCTTGGGTGACTTCACAGCCCACACCAGCCATGGAGAGGGCAGAGCACACACAGAAGACCCTGGACAGGCCAGCGGCAGGGGCGGATCAGGGGCCAGCGCAGGGGACCCACCTCTCTCCTAAGGGCCGTGGAGTCAGGAGCTCGCAGCTGCTGCCTGCTTGAAACTACCCTGCCTTCCTTCCAGGCTGTCCCGAGACGCTCCTCAAGCTCAGCCACCTGCTTCCGAAGCTCCAAAACCTCCAGGTGCACTTGGTCCACCTCGTGGGGAAGCTCTCGCTGGACAGTGTCCACGTCCAGGGCTTTCTGCAGCACCTAGGAGGCCGTTTTAGAGGCAGTATTAGGAGGGAGAGTAGGAAGGAGGATGCCGGCCCGGGAAGTGGTAGAGGTGGGTCAGGAACAGGGCTACAGGGAGGATGGGGCAGCAGCAGGGCAGAGGTGGACAGTAGAAAGTTCAGGAAAATCACAAAGGAAATCTGACCGTCAGTCTCTCCTCTGACTTAATGCAATCACCCCACAAACCTGCGTCACATCATCATAGCTGCTGCTCTTCTGGCCCCACCTAGCTCAGTCCCCAGGCGCTCTACCTGTCCCCCGCATAGTAGGGACGTGAGCATCTGCAGCACAGCCTGTGCACCAGAGACCAAAGCTGGTTGGGGTGAGTCTGTACATGGAAGTGCCTGGGCAGAGGCCAAGGGCCTAAATGTCTCTTCCTGAGCCCTAGTCCCAGGTGGACACAAACAGCAAGAACTAGAGTGGGCATTCCGAGGCAGGGGTGGAGAGACCTATGGCCGTCAAGGCAGGCAGATGACTGAGGAGCAGACTGAAAGGTTGCTGTAGGAACAGCTCCGGTGGCTGCAGGTTGGCCATGAGATCCCCGAAGCAGAGTCCCTGGCCAGATCTCCGGGGCCAGCCTCTTACTTTTAGCTGCTTCTCTCGACAACATTTGCCCTTCTCTTGATATAAGGACAGAGAAAAGATGAGGCAGACAGGAAAGACACACTTCTCTACCCCCTTAACTTTCCCATTTTCTTTTCAGGAAGATAAACTATTATTTTCCTATTCCAAGGACTCCTATAATGGATTCCTGGTGAATATTTTATTCTTTAAATTTGTCACCCACATACTAAAAAAGGTGACCATCCGGTAAACAGACACTGTTAAGTAAAAAGCAAACAAAAAACACCTTGAGGTAGACTTCTTTTCCCAGGACAATCAAATCATCTATGATAACCAAGAGAAAATTAAAAGGTCTTATTTAAAAGTTTATTTCCTATTTGTGGCATGGGTGTGTGTGGGGGTGTGTGTGTGCGTGTGTGTGAAATTCCAGGGCCGGCCCCATGGCCGAGTGGTTAAGTTCATGCGCTGTGCTTTAGTGACCCACGGTTTCGCCAGTTCAGATCCTGGGCGCGGACATCGCACCGCTCATCAGGCCACGCTGAGGCGGTATCCCACGTGCCACAAGTAGAAGGACCCACAACTAAGAAAAGATATACAACTACGTACCAGGGGGCTTTGGGGAGAAAAAGGAAAAATAAAATCTTAAAAAAAAAAAATTCCAACAGTGGGGCAGAAGTGGGAAACAGCATAGATCTAAAGAGCCGCTGTCCCTCACACGTGTTCATAGATCTGTCACCCCATAAACAGAGACAGAAAAGTGGTCAGGTTCATCTCCACCGCAACAGGAAAAATGTACTTCCAACCAAGATAAGGCATCAGATTTCTGGAGCACTGCCTGCTCCCTGTAGTAGACGGAAAGCTCAGAATAATCTCCATGTTTCCAGAGGGGTGTTCTGTTTCACAGAAGATGCAGAGTCTACAAGAACAGTGTAATTTATGTATTTGAGGACTTAAAAGGACACGTGAAAATTCTCTCTTTATGTTGCCTCATGAGAAATGTGTACAAAAGACAACAGAATGGCATGACATCAAAGGCACAGGAAACAAGAAAAAACAGATAAACTGGATGTCATCAAAACTAAAAATATTTGTGCTTCAAAGGACATTATTAAGAGAATGAAAAGACAAGTCCATAGAACTGGAGAAAAATTTTACAAATCACGTATCTGATAAGGGACTTATACCCAGAACACATAAAGAACTCTTACAACTCAACAATAAAAAGACAGACAACCCAATTTAAAAAACGGGAGAAGGATCTTAACAGGCATTTCTCCAAAGAAGAGATACAAAATGGCCAATAAGCACATGAAAAGAGGCTCAACATCCTTTGCCATGAGGAAAATGCCAATCAAGACCACAACGAGATACCACTCCACACCCACTAGGATGGCCAGAATCAAAAAGACAAATACAGGCATACCTCATTTTATTGCACTTGGCAGATGCCGCCTTTTTAACAAACTGAAGGTTTGTGGCAATCCTGCGTCCAGCAAGCCTAGTGACACCATTTTTCTTTTCTTTATCTTATTTTTATTTTTTTAAAATTTTTTCTATTGAAGTCACATTGGTTTGTGACATGGTATAAATGTCTGGTGTACATCAGTATATTTCCACTTCTGTATAGACTATTGGCAGCATTTTTCCAACCGCATTTACTCACACTGTGTCTCTGTGTCACATTTTGGTAATTCTCAATATTTTCAACTTTTTCATCATTATTCTATTTTTATGGTGACCTTTGACGTTACAACTGTAATTATTCGGGGGCGCCACAAACCGTGCCCATGTAAGAGGCCAAACTTAATAAATGTGTGTGCTCTGACTGCTCCGCCAATTGGCTATTTCTCCATCTATCTCCCTCTCCTTGGGCCTCCTTATTCCCTGAGACTCAACAATATTGAAATTAGGCCAAGTAATAACCCTACAATGGCCTCTAAGTGTTCAAGTGAAATGAAGAGTTGCACATCTCTCACTTTAAATCAAAGGCTAGAAATGAGTAAGCTTAGTGAGGAAGGCTTGTCAAATGCCGAGACAGGCCGAAGCCAGGCCTCTTACGCCAAACAGTTAGCCAAGTTGTGAATGCAAAGGAAAAGTTCTTGAAGGAAATTTAAAGTGCTACTCCAGTGAACACACGAATGATAAGAAAGCAAAACAGCCTTATTGCTGATATGGAGAAAGTTTTCGTGGTCTAGATAGAAGATCAAACCAGCCACATCATTCCTTGAAGCCAAGGTCTAATCCAGAGCAAGGCCCTAACTCTCTTCAATTTTGTGAAGGCTGAGAGAGGGGAGGAAGCTGCAGAAGAAAAGCTTGAAGCGAGCAGAGGTGGGTTCATGAGGTTTAAGGAAAGAAGCCATCTCCATAACATAAAAGTGCAAGGTGAAGTGGCAAGTGTGGGTGTAGAAGCTGCAGCAAGTTATCTAGAGATCCAACTAGGATACTTAATGAAGGTGGCTACACTACACAATAGATTTTTCAATGTAGAGGAAATAGCTTCTATTGGAAGAAGATGCTATCTAGGGCTTTCACAGCTAGAGAGAAGTCAAGGCCTGGCTTCAAAGCTTCAAAGGACAGGCTGACTCTCTTGTTAGGGGCTACTGTTGAAGCCAATGCCCATTTATCATTCCAAAAATCCTAGGGCCCTTAAGAATTATGCTAAATCTACTCTGTCCTCTGTAAATGGAACAGCAAAGCTTGGATGACAGCCCATCTGTTTACAACATCATCTACTGAATATTTTAAGCCTACTATTGAGACCTACTGCTCAGGAAAAAAGATTCTCCTTTCAAAATATTACTGCTCATAGCCAATGCATCTGGTCACCCAAGAGCTCTGATGGAGATGTACAATGAGATGAATGCTGTTAACACAACATCCATTCTGCAGTCCACAGATTAAATTTCAATTTTCAAGTTTGATTATTTAAGAAACACATTTCCTAAGGTTATAGCTGCCATAGATAGTGATTCCTCTGATGGATCTGGGAAAAATCAATTGAAAACCTTCTGGAAAGGATTCACCATTCTAGACGCCATTAAGAACACTCAGGATTCATGTGAAGAAGTCAAAATATCAACATTAACAGGAGTTTGGAAGAAGCTGATTTCAACCCTCATGGATGACTTTGAGGGGTTCAAGACTTCAGTAGATGAAGTAACTGCAGATGTGGTGGAAACAGTAAGAGAATTGGAATTAGAAGTGGAGCCTGAAGATGTGACTCAATTGCTGCAATCTCATGATAAAACTTTAACAGATGAGGAGGTGCTTCTCATGCATGAGCAAAAAAAGTGGTTTCTTCAGATGGAATCTACTCCTGTGCAAATAGTGTGTAGACTGCTGAAATGACAACAAAGGGTTTAGAATGTCACACAAACTTAGTTGATAGAGCAGCAACAGGGTCTGAGAAGATAGACTACAATTCTGAAAGAAGTTCTGTGGGTTATTTTAAGAAACTGCCACAGCCACCCAAACTTCAGCCACCACCATTCTGATCAGTCAGCAGCCATCAACACCAAGGCAAGACCCTCCATCAGCAAAAAGCTTAGGGCTTGCTGAAGGCTTCAGATGATGGTTAGCAATTTTTAGTAATAATGTATTTTTTAACTAAGGTATGCACATTGTTTTTTAGATATAATGCTATTGCACACTTAACAGACTACAGTATACATAACTTTTACATGCACTGGGAAAGCAAAAACTGTCAGTGACTCACTTTATTGTGATATTCCCTTTATTGTGGTGGTCTGGAAGTGAATTCACAGTATCTCTGAGGTACGCCTGTAATAGCTAGTGTTGGTGAGGAGGTGGAGACATCAGAAGCCTCACACACCACTGGTGGGAATGTGAAATGGTGTGGCCACTGTAGAAAACAGTTGGATGATTCTTCAAAAAGTTAACCATAGAATTCCCATAGGATCCAGCAATTCCACTCCTACAAATATGCCCAAAAGAAGTGAAAACAGGGACTTGAACAGACACTTGTACACCATGTTCACAGCAGCCTTATTTATAACAGCCAAAAGTTGGAAACAATGCAAGGGTCCACTGACAGATGGATAAACAAAATGTGGGATATATGATGGGACATTCTTGTTATTAAAAGGATCGATATGGGGCCAGCCCCGTGGCCGAGTGGTTAAGTCCACACGCTCCACTTCAGTGGCCCTGGGTTTCACTGATTCGGATGCTGGGCGCAGACATGGCACTGATTGTCAGGCCATGCTGAGGTAGCGTGCCACATGCCACAACTAGAAGGACTCACAACTAAAACATTCAACTATGAACTGAGGGGACTGGGGGAGAAAAAGCAGAAAAAAAAAAGAAAGATTGGCAACAGTTGTTAGCTCAGGTGCCAATCTTTAAAAAAAAAAAAGGATCGATGTGCTCCTTTATGCTATGACACAGGTGAGCCTTGAAGTCATTATGCTAAGTGAAATGAGCCCATCCCCAAAGGACAAATATTGTAAGAGCCCACTCAGGTGAGTTTCCTAGAGTGAAATTCAGACAGAAAGAGTGGAGGTTACCAGGGGCTGCGGGGATGGGGAATGGGGAGCTAGTGTAATGGGGAAAAAGTTCTGAAATAGATAGTGGTGATGGTTAGACAATGTTGTGAATATACTTAATGTCATTTAATTGTACACTTAAAAATGGCAAACTTTATGTCATGTATATTTTACCACAATATGAAAAACACTGAAAAAAGGTATTACGGATGTGTAGCAATAAAACATGGGTTGTGACGCCAGCCACACGTATAGCAGGGTGGACTCTGCGCTGGAGTCCGTGCAGCTGTCCCGTCTCCACAGGAAGAGCCCAGTGCATGAGTATCACCTGCCCTGCAGAAAGGCAGGCCAAGGGGCTAAGAGGGACGGTGCTCATCACTGACACTGTGTGTTCGTGCCATACCTCAGTGCCGATGTAACATGGGTCTTAGGACTCATCCAAGCATGTCCTGAGTGGGCAGCTGGTATCAGAGCTCTGTGACAGCCAGCAGCCCTGCAGCACAGAGAACAGGCTTCATGGGCTGGACCACCAGCACTGCCCCCTACTCTGGACATCCCTCCCATTCACCAGGTTCTCACTGTGCACCTTCTAGAAACTACACAGAAGATAAGCCAGCTACTCCTTATAACAACCCCATCCTTGGAGGGAAACAGGCACAGAGAGGTCAAGCTACACATCTGAGGTCACGGCAGGGTCCACACTGGCAGCTGGCTCTAGAGCCCACACGCTGTCTACCCCAAGAGTGGCTGTCTAGTCAGAAAACTTGCACAGACTGAATGTCAGGGGGAGGCTGTACCTTCTGTCTGATCCGGGTCACCAGGAAGTTCAAGAGATGTGCCCTGTCTCCAAGCCTCTGGAGCAACAATCCCAAGGATGCACCGTCAGCTAGCATGGTTCCTCCTGTAGAAAGAGTGACTCTGTCAGGCTCAGGCCTCCTAGAGCCTCAGGGAAGGTTCCAACCTACTGTCCTCTCTTTGGGGAGGTGGACTTCTGTGTCATCCTTCGCAGCCCTTAAAGGAGGCCTACTGTCGCCGCTGGTCCCCCAGGGCGTGAAGATGTTCTAAAGCTGAATAGATGGGCTGGATCCCCATGAAGATTGAGAGGTGCTATACGTAAAGTATAATCCTTATGCCACAAAAGCAGGAATCTTTGCAGGACAAAGATCCCATCTTACCACCTAGTGTCTGGTAGAGGCCATTCTGCACCAGTCTCCTAGTCAATTGTCTGAAAATGAAGAAAAATACCCACACAACCCATAGGTCAAGGAAGAATTATGGATTATGGAGACAAGGTAGCCAGAGAAAGCAACTCCTTAAATCTGTGCATTGAGTCCCTGAGGAGCTTATGTGGAAACCAGGCAGCAACCATACAGCTGAAGCTTTGAGAGCTGGGCTCTGCAGCAAAATGCTGCCCAGGACTTAAACTGGCCTCAGACAGCACAAAAATGGACAGACCAGAACAGCACTGCAAAGGCTCTGGTAAGTAAGTGGACATTCAAACCAGCCCAAGAGAGTGGGCCAGGATATGCACTGTGAACCTAGCAATGTGGACTACCTGAGAAAGCAGAAGGAGAATTAAAACCGAGCTCATAGGAATCAGATTTTAGAACATGGCACTCAAAATGCCCATGACAGAACCCAAAACTACTCACCATACTAACAACCAGGGAAATCTCAACTCAAATGAAAATCTCAACTCAAATGAAAGAAGACAACATGAGATGACACAGATGCAGGAATTGCGTGTTAAGGATTTTAAAGCAACTCCAACAAGCAATTTGATACACTCTTAAAACAAGTGGAAAAACGAAAGTTTCAACAAAGAAATAAAAGATATAAAGAAAAAACTCTGATATTTTAGAACTGAAATTAGAATAAAAATCTGACTGGATGGGCTCAACAGCAGAATGGAGATGACAGCAGAAAGAAATGGTGAACTTAAAGACAGATAATAGAAATTATCTAATCGGAACAACAAAGAAAATGGATTGAAAAAAACAAATAACAGAGGCTCAGGGACCTGGGAGAGAACAACAGAAGAGCTAACATTTTTATCATTGGAGGCCCAAAAGGAAAAAGTGTGGAGCTGCAAAAACACTTGAAGAAATAATGGTTGAAAACTTCTCAAATTTGTCAAAAGACATAAACCTTCAGATTCAACACCTAACAGGATAAGCCAAAGAAATCTCTGCCCAGACACATCATAATCAAATCTCCAAAACTAAAGACACACTCTCAAAAGCAGGCAGAGAGAAATGATGTTTGACCACATGGCAATGACGATTCAAATGGCAATGGATTTCTCACCAGAAACGACCATCTGATGTCTCACCAGAAGGAAGTGGTATAATAAGTTTTAAGTGTTGCAAGCAAAGAATTGTCAACTCATAATTTTATACCCGTGTATATGTTGTTCAGGAGTGAAAGTGAAATAAAGACATCTCAGAAAAGGGAAAACTAGGAGGACCTGTCACCAGTAGACCTGCTCTGAGAGAACTGCTGCAGGAAGTACTTCAGACAGAGAGGAACTGGAAACAGAAGGACATCTGGACTCCAGGAAATTCCACAGACCCCATCTCTCCTCTTGAGTCTTTAACAGTATATTTGACAGTCGAAGGCAAAAAGATCCTGCCTGATGTGGCCCTCGATGCGAGGAGAGGTGACATTTGCAACAGTAAGGGGGTGAAGGGCTGCACTGCTGTAAGACCCCCACAGTCCACTTGAAAGTGCAGAATGCTGACACGAGTTGACTGTCATCAGTTACATATACTGTAACCCCTGGAGCAACCATTATAAAGATGACCCAGAGAAATACTCTCTCAAACACTGTAGTAAATTAAGATAGAACACTAAAAAATGCCCAAGTAACCCCCAGGAGGGCAGGAAAGAGGAAACTGAGGCACAGCGCACAGACGTTCAATGGCAGACTTGGATCCTGACAGGGCACTAACTGTGTTGAGTGTAAATGGTATAAGTATATGAATTAAAACAGCTGAAAAATGGATTTCAAAAACTGACCTAACTCTGTGCTGCCTACAAGACATTCACTGCAAGTGCAATGACAGAGGTCAGTCAAAGGGCAAGGAATACAATGACAGACCATGCAAACAGTCACCACAGGAAAGCTGGTATCAGACCAGGTAGGTCTCAGAGAAGGAAAACTGTGGGATAAAGAGGACATTACGTGATGATAGAAGGATGAAGGCACCAAAAACATAACAATTCTAAACGTGTATGTATCCAACAACAATGCTTCAAAATACATTCAGCAAAAACTGACAGAATCGTGATATAAATAAAGATTTCTATTACAATAGGAATAGAAAAATCCTCCATAACCTGACCACAAAAAACCAACAACAACAAGAAAACTGCAGCAAATATTAAACTTAACTGTGAAATGTTGAAAGTTTTCCTCTGGGATCAGGAAGAAAGCCAGCTATTATCAACACCACTCTGGAGATCCCAACCAGGGAAAATAACGTAAGAAAAAGAACTAGAAGACATGAGCACTGGAAAAGAAACAAAGAAAACTTCCATTAATTGAAACAAGCTGATCAAGTAGGCAGGACATCCTGCTGGGCTCCGTTGCTTCCTGGACAGTCAATCCTCTAAGCCCTGGGTTGGCCCACATCAGTGACCCTAGGTGGGCTCTCAGCCTGGGGGCCAGTGCCCCAGCAGGGAGACGGGTAGGGCCAGGGAGCCACCCCACAGAGGGGCCCCCATGTGGCAGAAAAGCCTTCATACGGGGAAAGGAGGTGGCAGCAGTGGGAGGCTGCTTACACCCAGGGAACTGTACTAAAGATATTAGGAGCCAGGTTTCTCATTGTTGGAAAAGGAAGTTGAACGATGAAGAAGGAGAAAACTAGACTGAATTCTGTGAAACTGGACTAACAACAGAGGAACAGACTGACCAATGAGGCTGTCTTAAAATTAACCCCTGTGTTCACTGAAAGACACCAGAGGAGGAAGAAATGCCTGTTGTTTGAGCCCCCTAGCCACTGGTATTTGTTACAACAGCCCAAGCAGACTAATACACCAACGAACACCGGAAAAAATATTCAACGTTACGAATAAACAGGAAAATGCAAATTAAAACCATAATGGGGAGTGAGGTCAGCATCATGATGAAGTGAACTTGCCTGGGGCTCTCTCCCCTCCAACATACAACAAAAAGGGGCATCTGTACTCCAACAGAAGACATCCTAACACAACACAAAAATGTCAGAGAGACATGCAGCCACACGACAGAGGGCAGAGAGGCTGGAGCCTCCCTCAGAGGAGCTGGAACAGGGTAAGAGAGAACTTCGCTCCCTCCCCTAAAGAGTGTGATTATGACTGTGGGAGGATCCATGAGGGAAGGAACAGGGGAGGGGACGCTGGCTCGTGGGGAAATCAAGGACTTGCTAGGGCCCTTGCAGCCTAGAAGGAAGCCCTCTAATGGGGTGAAAACTTTTGCGGGGGGTGATTTCATCAAGCCAAGACCCCAGGAGACAGATAGCAAGAGCTGACTGAGAAAGCCTAGAGAGCACTAAGGAGAAAGCGCCCCTCCACCCAATTGCTCAGTGCTGGCTCCAGCACCTGTGATCTCGGCTGAAGGTGGAAGGCTCAGAGTATGCAGCTCTCAACCCCCACTCAGTGGTGACAGGCAGTAACCGCAACCGAATAATATGAATGAGAGAGACCCGGCCCACCTCCTCTAACAACATCAGACACTACATCAAATCTCCAGATCAGAGAGAAATGACAAGCAACCAAAATTCAGTCCTGAGGACACAGAAATATGTAATCTAAAATGACAATGAATTCAAAATAGCCATCATCAAAAAACTCAACGAAGTAAAAGAGAATGTAGAGAAACAATTCAATGAGTTCAGGAGCTACATCACAAAAGAGATTGAAACTATGAAGAAGAATCAACCAGAAATATTAGAGATGAAAGACACAATGGAAGAGGTAAAACAAAATACGGATTCCCTGAAGGCTCGTGTGGACACCACAGAGGAGCGAATCAGCAGAATCGAAGACAGACATGTTCAAATGCTCCAGACAGAGGAGGAGAGAGAACCAAGACCAAAAAGAAGTGAAGAAAGTCTCTGAGAAATAGGTGACTGAATTAGGAAATGCAACATAAGAATTACAGGTATTCAAGAAGGTGAAGAGAAGGAGAATGGAGCAGAAAGCATGCTCAAAGAAATAACAGCAGACAACTTCCCAAATCTAGGGAATGAGAGGGAAATCTGTGTGGAAGAGGCTTCCAGATCTTATACATTTTTCAATGTAAAAAGACCTACTGCAAGGCATATAGTAGTAAAACTGGCAAAAATGAATGACAAAGAAAGAATAGTCAAGGCAACAAGGCAGAAGAAAATAACCTACAAAGGAACGCCTATCAGACTTTCAGCAGATTTCTCTGCAGAAACCTTACAAGCTGGGAGAGAATGGAATGACACATTCAAAACTTTAAAAGACAAAAATCTTCAGCTAAGAATACTCTATCCAGCAAAAATATCCTTCAGATATGAGGGAGAAATTAAATCTTTCCCAGACAAACAAAAGCTAAAGGACTTCATAGCCACAAGACCCTCCCCTACAATAAATCCTCAAGAAGGCCCTCATACCCGAAAAAAAACAAAGAGAAAGGGGTCTCAAAACACAGAGAAGGAGATAAATAGGTAGACAGAAGCAGAATAGGACAGCAAATACACAAGTATAGCATTAAGCTAAAGGGAAGGAAAACACTAAAAACAAAGAAAATCCTGTCATTTTAACCACAAACTCACAACAAAAGATGGAGTAAGATGTGAGAAAAACAACTTGGTGGGGAGGAGGAAAGGGACTGAATCGGTTTAGACTAAGGAAATAACAGGTCATCAGAAATGGACTATACAGGGCTGGCAT